GCAAAGGAGTCAGGCTTTGAGAAATGGTAGAAATGATGGAGGTACCGTATTCGTAAACCATGATCTTGCACACAAAGCCTAGCTTCTGAGACACAGCTCATCATACTGCCTTTTGGAGGGGGTGATTTAGAGGGAACAGAGTGGGAAGCCAACTGGAGGACATCTCTATCCACAGGCATGTTACAATGCCCGAAATCCCACCACTGCCAGTTCAAACATGCTCTCTTAATGAGACCTTGTGCACACGTGTAATTTATTAGAAGCCACGGTCCCAGTCATCCCTGACAATGCGTGTCTGGGGCCAGGACGTTCCATTAGCTGAGCAAATTCTCTCCACTCTCATTGTTCATCTCAGCCCCAGACCCCGGCTTGCTCTTGGGTGGTTCTTCAGAAGCTGTGGCGACATTTCTGCAAGCTTTTGGGAGGCTGGAGGCTTGGGTTTCACAGAAGGCTTCAAAAGGTATTTGCATTTTGAGGCCAGTTTTCCTTTGTCATGTTTTTTCCATTTCTTCTTGGCCTTTGGGAGAAGGTTTTCATCTTTCTAGCTCCCCTGAAATTAATCTTTCTCTGGAAGAATGTTTTACCACCAAGGAAGATCTGGGCCTGCCCCCAGACAAATTTGCAAAGCGGGGCAGGACAGAGAAGTAAGAGGAGGGAAAAGGAGCGAAGGCAGAAAGAGGAATGGGTGTGAGAGTAACAACTAGAGGAAGTTCAGGGAGTTAGAGGTGATAGGAAGGGTCCCTGGAAACTGGAGGGTCACTCCCTGAGTAACTGTGGAAACCAGCACTTCCAGCAGACATGCTGTCTCAGGGACTCTTGTCCCCCCCAGGATGCAGAGCAGCCTGCCCCCATGGAGCTGGGCAGGGATGTTGATTGTAAATCAATGCCATGTCTGCCCTCAGAGTCTACTAGCTGCCCTCTCCATATACCCTCCTGCTGCCTCGGAGAGGTGTGGGTTCTCATGGTAAATGATCGTGCTAAGCCCCGTCTTGTGCACTGCCTATCACCACCCAGGACAGGCAGGCTTCGTGGGTGTGCCACCTGTGTGGTCGTACAAGCCCCCATGCTCAGAAGGACCCGGCCTTAGTTTAATGCTCTTCTTCTGTCTCCATCTTGAAATACCTAATAATTTTATCTTCGAAATAGATAGGTGTTTTGTAGGTGAAATCTAATGGATCAATAGAGCATGCATGAGATAAGACACCTGGTGACAGCACACAGCAGGGCAGGCATCAGGAACATAGAGCAATGGGCCCACTGGTCCTGCCCACACATGTGTGCCTGGCACCACTGGGCCCCACAGTGGCTGAGCCAGAGCTGGTGCCAGATTGGCGGCAGCGACAGCGGCTGCAGCAGCGACAGCACCTGTAGGAGAGAGGAGAGGATCTGCAGGCTAGGTCCCCGGGGGGAGGCCAGCTGTGTTCCTGGAGTCCTTCCTTGCAGTGTCTGTACAGATAATTACTCTTGGGTCTGAGCTCCCAGGCAGGAATTGCGGGCCTTTAGGCAGTAAACTTGGTCAGTAAATGATTACAAAATAAAAGCATTTATATAAACATTGCAATAAGGCATATCAGGGAATGATTAGGATTCTTCAAGGAGTCCAGAATCTTCAGTTTTTGAGCCAGCCCTGATGGCCTACTGGTCAAAGTTCAGTGCGCTCCGCTTCAGGGGCTCAGGTTTGGTTCCCGGGCGTGGAACCACACCACTCGTCTGTCAGTCACCATGCTGTGGCGGCAGCTCACATAGAAGAACCAGAAGGACCTATGACTAGAATATACAACCATGTGCTTACTGGGGCTTTGGGGGTAGGCGGTGGCAGTGGAGAGGAAGATTCGCCACAGATGATAGCTCAGGGTGAATCTTTCACAGAAAAAAAAAAAAGAATCTTCAGTTTTGAAAACTTCTGCAAAATTGCAGAGCAAATATTCAGGAGGCTTAGAAAAAGCAATTAGATTTAAAGGTCATTGCATCCAGTGGAAAGGAACACTATTTTCATATGAAGCTTTGGATAAACCAATTATTAACAAGCAAGTCAATATCAAAATTAATTTTTTTCTTATAATTGAAGAATCAACAAAAGAATGTATAGATAGGTGTTTTAAGTTACATACAAAAAATGAAGTCACTTTCAGTTTCTTGTAACCTACACAAATTACAGGAAATGTCAGAGGAAACATTAACAGGCTATTGTGTAAACTTACATTTAAAATCAAATTCAGGGGCTGGCCCAGTGGTGTAATGGTTGGGTTCATGGGCTCCACTTTGTCGGCCCAGGGTTCACAGGTTTGGATCCCAGGCGGAGATATATGTGCCGCTCATCAAACCACACTGTGGTGGCATCCCACATACAAAATGGAGTAAGAGCAGCACAGATGTTGGCTCAGGGCCAATCTTCCTCAGCAAAAAAAGAGGAAGATTGGCAAGAGATGTTGGCTCAGGGCCAATCTTCCTCACCAAAAATAATAAACAAAAATAAAATCAAATTCAGACTTGTGTGAAACTGATCTGTATGAAGAATTAAATCTGCTTAGAAAAATTGTTCCATGAGAATCATCAGCTCTAAATGCAGTAAAATTTATATTTTCAAATAACTTGTCAGAAATGTATTCTAACATTGTCACAGTCCATAAAATACTTTTAACAGCTTCAGTAACAGTTGCATCAGCAGAAAACTCCTTCTTAAAAATTACTGAAAATTATTTACGATCTTGCATTTGCCAAGAGCAACTAACATTACTCTCAATTATACTGATTGAAAATAAAGTTGCTAGAATTATAAATTTTGATGACCCAATAAATGAATTTGCCAAAAAGCAAGCTGGAAAAGGCTTAGGATCAATCAAGATCTAATATTAATAAAGTATTATTACTTATTTCATTATATAAAATACGACACCAAAGATACTTTTTTATAATTTGTGAGTTATGTTGTTGCTCATGTATCACTATTACCTCTATTACGTTTTATAAGTAATCAAATATTCTAAAGGCAAAACCTTTATATTCTAGTTCCTTTACTGGCGCTTCTCCCCTGCGATTTGACCAAAGGTCTCCTCGCATTTTCATTTTGCACTGGGCCCCACAAATTATATGGTCTGTCCTGTCTCAGGGTCTTGAAGGCTCTCTAGATACCAGTGAAGCCCATAAACATATAAACTCTCATTCTTTAAGAGTTCCTCCAGACTCCAGAGCAGTGGTTCTCAACTGGAGGCGATTTTGTCCCTCCCCCAAGGGACGCATGGCAATATCTGGAGGCATTTTTTGTTTTCACAACTAGGTGGCTGCTACTGGCATCTAGTGGATAGAGGCCAGGGATCCTGCTAAACCTCCTACACTGCATAGGACAGCCCCTTACAACAAGTAATTATCCAGTCCAAAATCTCAGTAGCGCTGCAGAGAAAACTCTGATCTAGACTCCTTGGACTTGCAGAACATCCCTGCTGGGTTGTTTGAAATGCAGACTCTCAGTTTCCACCCCAGACCCACTAAATCAGAATCTGCATTTTAACAAGATCCCCAGGTGATTGGTGTGCACCCAAAAGTTTGGGAAGCGTTGAGCTAGGGATGTGAATCTCTAATGGTATATTTCGGACATGTGGGAGGGAGCCCTTCCCTGACCCTTCAGTCGTGCCATGTTAGGCCAACCCTGCACAGACCCCCAGGACCACACTGTTCCTGCCACTTTCCTCAAGCTTCTTGCTCAACTCTTAAGGGCGCCCTGGCAAGTGACAGGCAGGCCCAGGTGCAAGGACACTGTGGGCAGTGTCTGACAGAACCTCAGCCCTGGCACTCTGATGTTGAACTTGTACCTCTGTCAAGCGAGTATGCAAAGAAAGACAGCAGGCTGACAGCTTCAAAGCTCTGACCTGGCTCCAGCTGGTCCCAGGCCTCCCTCTGCAGCAATGGACCCGAGGACTCTGCCACGCGCCTCCACCATGGTCCTCGGGCATGCCCCTGCATTCAGAGCACAGCCTTTGAACACGCTGCTTCCTCAGCAATGCCCTTTCCCCCTTTCCCGCCTGCCCCTGAGCCTTCAAGGCCCACTCGCCTTGAAGCCCCTCCTGGAGGCTTTGGGTTTCCCTCAGGGTCCTCATGGCTACCAGCAGACGGATCTGTGACAGTGGCCCAGTGTCTTCAAGAGACGGAAAGTCAATGAAGGGCAGGTGGAGGCTCCGCGGCTGTGGTCAGGACTCCTGCCCATACAAACAAATGCAGGCCCAGTGTTTACAAAGCTCTGGATTTTTCAAGAGAATCAAGAAGTCTGGGTTTTTTATGTGAAATCTTCTGATTTCCAAATACTGGCATCTAAATTAAAACAAACAAACCACAAGGCAGACCAGACCCCTCTGTGGGAGGCAAGAGCCTGAGATGGACACTTTGCTGCCGCTGGGCTCTGTAAACACTTATCGTGTTGTGTTGTGAGTGTCTGTGGACCTCCTTGTCTCCCCACTCAGCCTAGCAGCAATCTGAGGGCAGGGTCTGGAACAAAGCAGTTCAGCACATGCTCAGTGAGTGAGCGAACGACTGAACGAGTAAGTGAGTGAGACTGACACGTGTTGTAAGCTCTGGACATCCAGTGGTTTTAAAGCCATGGTTCTTAATGGACAGTGTCACCCTCTAAGGGTCGTTTGGACACCTGTGGGGAAGGTTTGGTGGTTATGATGATTGACAGCACCACTGGCCTTTAGGGGGTGGGGGATCAGGGTGATAAAAATAATATCAGGCACTTATTTGTGCTCACCCTGTGCTAGACTCTATTCCAAACACTTTATTGAAATGAACTCGTTTAATCTTTACAACAGCCTTACAAAGTAGATGCTGCCATCACCCACATTTCACAGACAGGGGAGGGGGTGGGGATGCTAGTCAGTCTGCAATGGACAGGACAGCCCCCCACGGCAAGGAACCATCCTGTGTTCCACAGATTCTTGTATGCCCCACTGAATGCTTATGTAGAAAAAAAAACCCTGTTTATAACAATCAGAAATACAACTATCATATAAATTGTGGGAAGAGTATGCTTTATTTTTTAGCACTTTGCCAAGAGCTCACCATTTCAGAAAAATCACGTAGCAGCCAGCAACATTGCTCAAGGCGTCTGAGTCACTAAAACCACATGTCTACATCCATCTACATTTATAGTTTCCAAAGTCATAATGATTCTAGTTGTGAGCATTGGATTGGTTGATTAATGGATTTTTTTTTTAGTAAACTTTTCATTGAACAATTATGTACTTCGAAAAAGTGTACAAACCGTAAGTATATAATGCACTAATTTTTGCAAAATGAACACACCTGTGTAATTAGCATGCAGCTCAAGAAACAGAACATTCTCAGCACTGTGGAAGTCCCTTCATGCTCCTTTCTAGTCAAAATTCCTCCTAAAGGGAACTATCATCCGAACTTCTAACATCTTACATTAATTTTGCCTACCTTTGACCTTGATATAAATGGAATCATACAGTGCATATTTTTTGTGAGTCTGGCTTCTTTCGGTGAAGATTATATTTGTGAGATTCATCCATGCTGTCGTGTGAATTGGAAGTTTGTTCCTTCTCATCACTGCATAGTATTCCATCATATGGACATACCACAACATATTTATCCATTCTACCGTAAGTGGCCTTTGGGTTGTTTCCAGTTTTCGTCTATTGTGAATATGGTGCGTGAACATTCTTTTGATAGACATCTCTTGGTGAACATACGTATGCATTTATTTAATCTTTTTGTAATTACGTGTGTAGGCAGATCCTTTTTTTGTGTGATTTTCATTTCATGGAAGTAAGAGGATATTACAAAATACTTGGTATCCAAAGGAGGCCTAGGTTCTGAGGGAATAGTTGGGACCCTCTTGTTTGAAGCAGGTGCTTCTGTCCATGGTCCATTTGTCTGTCGCACAAGGATTGTCCCTGCTGTGCTGTGCTCCATGTGGGGAGTGATTTGAGAATCTTGCCATAAGGCTAGAGGGCAGAGGCCTGCATTCTCACTCCCACCACTAGAGGGCAGGCATTGACAAGGCGCTGGGGACCCGCGGCTTCTTTCAGGCAGGGTGGCTCTGTTTCCTGCCCCGTCTCCCTTGGTAACTGGGGGTCCACCTCTACCGGGGGATTAAACAAAAGAAATCTTTGTAGTCCACCTCAGTGGAGGCAGAGGGAACTGACGCACTTTTGGTGATCAAATATTTCTCACCCACCTTCCCTGTTAAATGGAGAATCTCTGGAGTCTGGCTGCCTCCTAGGGGTACCTGGGCTCCCTGCCCCACTCACGCTGCCGGCTTCACTGGTGAGCTCACCTAGCCGGGCCACTGGTGCTGGTTCTCTGTTCCTACACGGTGGCTTCCGCAGACACACGTCCTGGTAAATGTTTAACAACTCGTTCTGGGAGTGGGGCCTGATTTGCAGCGTTTGCTAATTTCCGTGGTGTTAACCGTACTTCCGCCACGTCTGATTTAAGCTGGATGAGACGTCCATCGTTGAACGTGGAGTTGGGAAGAGATGCTAAGTAGCATAACATTATATAGTATTTCCACCATACGTATACAATAGATGTAAATAAACCTGAAGGCATGGAGAAGAATGAAATGTAGTAAAATAATTAGGAAGTGATAAGTTTGGGATATTTATTACTTTAAAAATATAATTTATTTAATTTTACGTATACGTAATTTAGTGGGGTTTTTTTCTTTCTACTTTTTTCTCCCCAAATCCCCTCAGTACATAGTTGTATATTTTAGTTGTGGGTCTTTCTAGCTGTGGCTTGTGGGACGCTGCCTCAGCATGGCCTGATGAGCAGTGCCATGTCCGCGCCCAGGATCCGAACTAGTGAAACCCTGGGCCGCTGCAGTGGAGCCCACGAACTTAACCACTCAGCTAAGGGACCAGCCACCCATATAATTTAGTTTTAATAAAGGCTGTGTTTAACAACCAGCTCACAAAAATCTTGGAAACCTTACAGTTGGTTCTTGGGAGACAGTGCTCGTAGACTCCTGCACATCACTGCAGGTAACGGGCTCTCGTCCCCCTTGAAAAGTCACATTTGTCTTTTGCAGTGCAAATTGCAGCTGTATTCCCTAAGAGGTAAAGAGGCCTGGCCCTGCTACTTAGTAACTGTGGCCGTGGCTGCATCTTTAACCTTTCCGTACCTCAGTTTCCTCATCTGCAAAATGGAGATAAAAGTATTTTTTAAATTAATTAATTGAGCTATTTAGTATTTTTATTTATTTATTTATTTATTCACTTACCTATTTTACAGGTTGCCACAAGGCTTAAATGAGATCACGTAGGTAAAGCCATTAGCACAGTGCCTGGCAGACAGTATGACATACCTAAATAGTTTGGAGCTTTTTGAAGAATTGATTAACATAGCTCGGGGTTAAAGCTGCACCTTGGGTTCTGTCATCAGCATCCTCAAAATACTCTGAGTAGGGCCAGAGTGTCTGGCCCTGACCTGCCAAAAGGGGACCTGACCTTAATGGGCCAGCCAACAGGCCCTTCCGAGGCGCGGTGGCTGCCCGAGCTTCACAGCCCCACCTCTGACAGTTTGAAGTGGGACTGCTCCATTCCTCCATCCACCTGCAGCTCAGAGCTAGGGAGCCAATCACAACCCTGCCTCCCCACCACTAAGTCACGTGAATAGGAACAGTCGGGGCAGCCTTGAGGAAGAAAGTCACCAAGGGAATGCAGTGTCAAGTGACCCGAGAAGTGTGGGTGGGGTTTGTGGGCTGGTTCTGTCTGGAAGGGCCTCAGGCCATCGCTGCCCCCACTATCTTCCTCCTTCCCAGCTGGCTGCCTCCCAGAGTCACTGCCTAGCCCTTGGACAAAGGGCACAGAGGAGGAGCAGGTGACCAGGCTGGCTGGCATCTGTGGAGGGAGGCTGGGCAGCAACATATGTGGACATGGCAGGCAGACGCTCTCTTTGCCACCTTGACTTTTCCTCAAGTATAAAATGGGGTGAATAGTTTTACCCAGCTTACCTGGTCTGTGTCAGGGATAAAAGTGTCGTCAAAGACTTGTCAGTGCTTCAGAAAAAGAGGGGCTCAGTGGCCCTCTTACACACCTGGTGACTGGGCAGCATCAGGTGCACATGGCTTCAGGGGCCCATTTTCCAGAGCTGGGGTCAGGGTTGGGGTGGGCAGGGAATCATAGTTGCTGCTCAGAGCTCTGCCCTCTGCAAATCCCCTCTGATCAGTGGCCAACAGGGATTGGGCCACCAAGCCTGGCTGTCACAGGTCCGACATGCTCTGAGGAGGGGTGCGCTGGGTGATGGTGCAGGTCCACGTATTCAACAACCCTGTGAGCTCAGGATTTGCCTCCCCAGGAGTGGGAGCCACCCCTCAGCTGTGTCAGCCCAGCCTTGCCCGGCCCACCCATCTTGGACCTTGACTTTCCTTGGAGAAGATGGTTTGAAGACTTCCACCTCCCCTGGGGTCAAGCAATTTTACTTCTTTACTTTTGCAGGGCTTCTACGGCTGCCCAGAGAATCTTAAATCGAAACAAAAACCCCCAAGCTAATTCCCGTCCTGGAATCTGCTTGGTGCCTCAACTTCCTTGTAGGTAAAACTGGGGGATAAGACTATCTCATTTATGGGGGTGTTGTAAAGATAAAATGAGCTGGTGTGCAAGAAAGCACTTTGTAAAAGATCTAGAGACATGTAAGGACAGTTTGGTTATTACTTGTTATTTTTATTGGGGGTAGGAGGGGCCGTATGATTTATTTGGAACAGTGTGACTTTGGGAACAGACAAGATGGAATTCTGGGTTTGCAACATATATGCTATGTGGTTTTTGATGTCACAAAAATCTCTCTGAGCCTGTTTCTTCACATGTAAAGTGGTGTTAACGATACTTAATTTGGAGGATTGTTATCAAAATTAGTGGTTACATGTATAAAATCCCTGCTAAGTAACTGGCACACAGTAGGTGCTCCATAAATAGGAGCTGTTACTCCTGCTGTTGTTATTACGTATAACAGCAGAGGTACCACGTACTAATTCTGAAACTTTTCTCTTCACTTGCAGGGAGCCAAGCTCCTCTTTCCAGCCCTGTAAGTGGCAGAGGCACAGGCTCTGGGTTAGACTCCTGGGAGAGGACGGAGAACCAGGCCCTCTGACTTATTCCACCCAGTGACCTGCTCATCGAGGTTTGGCCAGGCTTGTCCTAGTTTTAGCACTAGGAAGTCCCAAGTCCCTGGAACTCCCTTCCTTAGCCCCAGGCAAAGTGGGATGATTGACTCCTCCACTCACCACCAACCTGGGTCTAACTCCCAAGCCATTTTCCAGTGCCTAGACTTAGAGTATTAAGACTGGTACTGAAAATCTGGAAGGACCCAGGAATATTAGCTCAAAAAGCCAGCTTAAGTCCTTTCAGAACCAGGCAGAGATTAAACAAATATGTGAAAATAAAAAATTAGCTCTGGCCTTAAAAGTCATTATCTTAGGTGTAAGAAACACACAAAAAATCAATTATGAAGACCACATATTATATGATTCCCTTTACATGAAGTGTCCAGAATAGGCAAATCTACGGAGATAGAAAGTAGATTACTGGTTGCCTAGGGTGGGAGGTGGGGGAGGGTGGGAAATGAGAAGTGACTGCAAATGGGTATAGAGTTTCTTTTTAGGATCATGAAAATGTGCTAAAATTGATTGTAGTAATGGTTGCACAACTCTGTAAATATACCAAAAACCATTGGAATTGTATACTTTAAATATATAATTACACATTTAAACAGAATAGTATGGTATGTGAATTGTATCTCAATAAAGCTGTTAAATTTTAAAAATTAAAAAAAAATTTTAATTATAAAAAAATCAATAGTTTCTCCCACTTGAGAATCTCTAAATCTAAATTATTCTTAACTCTCATCTTGAGAGTTGTCTCTTCAATGGCATAAAAATATTCAGCCTAGGCCAGGGAATACCACCCCCACTTTGCAGGCGACGTGAGCAAGGCCCACATGCCCACTATAATAGGGGCTCTTGCTCAGCTCTATAGAGGAGGCCTGTGGAACCTCAGGCAGGAGGCGAAATGGTGGGGGAGGAGAGGCTGGGGAGAAGAGAGACTTGCCTCTGATCCTGGCAATATACAGCAGAAGGAAATGCATGCTAAACTGAGGCTCACCCAAAATGCCACAGAAGGGCAGAGGAGCAGCTCTGGAAAGGTTGCAAAGGGTTAGGTGGGGAGGGCATTGCAGGCAGAGGGAATGGTGTGCGCATGGGCTCTGAGATGTGAAAGTAGGTGCCTGGTCAGAGGAGGTGGTGTGGGGAGGCTGGAGTGTGAGGTGTGTGGAGGGACCTGGAGGAGCTGGGCCAGATTGGGGAGAGCACCACACACAGTCCTTGCTCCGACTTTGACTTGGTTCTGTGGACACTGGGGGTCCAGTGGAGGATTTTTAGGCAGGGAGTAACAGACCTGCAGAGGGTCTCCAAAGCCATTTTACAATGTGAGAGTTCACGGAGCCGGTTAGCGCCCAAACCGCTGTGCAAAGCCAGGGGCTTGAAATACCGGGCCTCCCCATCTCCCACTACACCAAGCTGCTTTGCGGATGATGTGCCCTCTCTTACTCTTTTCATCTGTCTTCTCTAATTCCCTGTCCCGGGCCTTGGGTCTGCCTGGGGTGTTCCTGCAGTCCACACTGGGTTGTTGAGCTCTGTTGAGACCCAGGCAGACCTAATGTTTGCTTTTCAACCCCGTAGTGGTCTGGGCAGTGCAGCCCCAGGGGAAGATGGAAATGAGCAGGAAGGGAGGGTGTCAGTCTCCTCCAGTGAGAAAGAAGGCAGAGCAGGGCCAGGCTCTTGGAAAAGGGAGCAACAGGCGCAGGTTCTGTGGGTTGCAGAGGGGAGGGTTCTCTTGGGGCTGGGTGTGTGTGCATGGGGGGAGGGGCGCTCTGCTTGCCTTGTTGAGCTACCTCCAGGACAAGCCTGTTAATTCACAACCCTTTTCCAGAGAACCTACTAGAACTAGGCTTGGGGAGAGGCCCTGAGGGGGAGTATCTTTGTCCAAAGGGCACCCAAGAGTAGGGGCCTGCTTGACCCAAGCTGCAGCAAAGGCTGAAGTCCATGGGTCCAAGCCCAGACTCTGGCACTGATTCTCAGTAGGTGCGCCTCCACATTTATTGAACACCTCTGAGACAGGCACTGAACAAGGCCCCGGGGCACCAAGATAAGAGTCACAGTCTTAGCCATCACGGGGCGACAAGCCCTGTAAACACATAAACGGAGGACTTATCTGCTAGGGCCGCAGTGAGACATCACCAATAAAAGATGTAGCCATACAGCGCACCAACTGCTCCACAGTGTATGCTGGAAAACAGCCCAGGAGGCAAGGCTCAGGATAGGAAATAAAGTTAGGGGTGTGGCGGAGTTCCAGCCCGGACTCTGCTTGTCCTGGCTCTGAACCTCCGTGTTTGTTCTTAACCTTGAGGTCCGCCGTGTGCTGAGGAATCACTTCGGAATGCTTGCTAGAAGAAAGACTCCTGAGTGCGACTTCACCGAATCAGAAGGCTGAAGATAGGGCCCTGAAGCTGCATTTACACCCGCCCCTCCCCCCAGGGCAATTCTGAGGTTGGCAGGCTCGCACCCTAGTTGGAGAAGTACTGCTTAATAAGAGATAATGACCTGGCCCAGCCATAGGTCAGGCGAGCCATCCAAGAGCTAACAAGCAACCCGCGTGAAAGCGCCTTGTGAATCTGAGAACAAACCAATTCTTTGCAAAGACTAGTAAACCAACAATCCAAATAATATCCAAAAAAATCTAAGTAATAATAATAGTAAAAGAACTGGGGAGCGCACTGCGAACACGGTGCAGTCCACCCCGGCGCAGTCGGTGCGACTGTCTCTTTAAGGCTCCCCGGCCCAACCCAGTCTCGCCTCCCGCGGGGCGTGCCGCCCGGCCGGCGGCGCGTGCGTGCTGGCAGCCGTCGGCCGGCGGGGCCTCCCAGCCCAGCGGTCGCGGCGGCGCGACGCCGGCGCTTGTTGCGTGCGCGCCTGGCCCCGCCCCCTGCCCGCCCCTTCCCCTCCCCCTCCGCGGGCCTACCCCGCCCGCGCGGTACAGCTGGCCCAGTGACGCGGGCGCAGCCGCCGCCGCCGCTACGACCGCCGCGTTCTATTCTCCTCAGCCGGCGACAGCCTTGCCTCCTGTCTCCCGCCTCGTCCTCCTCCTCCTCCCGCCGCGCCAGCCAGACCGGCACGCTGGGCCTCGCTTAGAACCCGGAGGGCTGCGGGCGCGCGCAGGCGGCGGAGCAGATCCCGGCGCCGCGGAGGCTGCGAGCGCCCCCCTCCCGGAGGTCGCCGCGCTGTTCCCCGGGTGAGTTGTCACCGCGGCAGGGGTGCAGGCATTGTGTCCCTGGCGCGCCCGGCCGGCTGTCAGGGGCGCGGGGCTGGCGCGCGCCGCCCGGAGGGACGCGGGGGAGCCCGGCGTCGGCTGCCCTCGGCGCTGGCCCCGCTGTCACCCGGCCGGCCGGCCGCGAGCCCCGCGCTGGCGTGGGCCGCCCGGGCGCGGTGCCGGGAGGGCGGCGGGGGCCTGTGCGAGGCCGGGGGGAGGACCGGACGGCCGGTGTGCGGCAAGGGCTTGGTGGCCGGGGTCGTGCTCCCCGCCCGGGAGTTCGGGGGACAGCCCCCACTCTGCAGGTCGCTGGAGAGGAGGTGGCGGAGGCCCCCTTTCTTTATTACTCTTCTCACTGCCTCCTCCGGCCGACTAAAGCTGCGGGCCCTGCGCCGGCACGGGGGCTTGGCGGCTTCCGAGGAAGCCGTGGAGCCCGGGTGGGGAGTGCCGGAGCTTTCTGGAGCCCCCGCGCCTCGTCTCGTCTTGTATCTCAGAAACTATTTCTTATCCGGGCTGAAACTCACCGAAACCACTTCCTGTTTGTATATGTAGACTTTCTTTTTTACTCCTGGTTTTTAGAGACTCCAGATAATTAGCGCAGGTCCGACCCTCCCGCAGTGTTGTGGCGGTGGGGCTGCGGGGCTGCGGAAGTGGAAGAAGTTATCTTAAACGAGATTAGGCGGGGGAGGTGGTTTTGGGAACCCTGAGACCCGGGAGGGAAGAGGCGTCAAAAGGAAGTCCTGGGCTGGTTCGAGGGAAGTTCGCGTTTTGGCACAGAGGCCTGATGCTGCTGTTCCCACAGAATGTTCTCTCGATGGCAGGCGGCATGCTGGGCTTTGTTGCTCTTGCTAACTAGGCTCGTGTGTGCTTTGTAGAGAGGTGCGGTAAAAGGACCCAGTTCAATTAAATCATAGGTGTTTACTCCCCTTCTAGATCTGCAGAGGTGGGAAGTGTGTCTTTCCTTTTCACAGTGGTTAATTCATTTCTTGCTCTTTAAATCTCTCTGGTTTAAAATATGCATATAGATGATGCATACACACACCTTTTCTGTTTTGGGAATTCCACACCCAAATTGTCACCATCTAGTGGAGGCTAGTAGAGACATGCGCTTGGCATTGAGTTCTGAATTTTCTGGGCTTTGGTTTAGCTAGATGCATATTCAACCAGAATGAAAAATTTCAGAGTTTGGGGGGGAGATATGTCTATCTCCCCCTCAATAAAGGAGGTATTTAACAGTGTAACAGTAATAGCAATAGTAGGGAAAAGTTATTGAGGATTTACTGTTTACCAAGCTTTGTGCTAAGCTTAATCTCATTTAATAAATAACAAACTTTTGAGATAGATATTGTTGTTATTCCCATTTTTCCAGTCAAGACAAAAGCCAGACAAATTCAGTAGCTTGCCCAAGGTCACAAAGGTAGCTCATGGTGGAGCCCACACTCTTAACTACCAGATTGTACTGTTAGTTTCTAGTTTGCTTACTTTTTGTTAAAATTGAAACTGGAGGCTTTCCAGAACATTTTCAAAGCACTACTTCTTCAGGATATGTCTCAGATCACGAGCATCCTTAACTCTTTCTCCAAGGTACACGTTTATGGTATGTTTGCACAGCATTCTTCTGTTCATCCATTTATTCTTTCATTCAGTACTCACAGGTATTTATGTGATACAGAATGTATGCCAGGTGCTGTGCTAGATATTGGGGATACTGCAGCAAATAAGTCAGAACTCAACCATACCCTTAAGTACTTCACAGTCTATAAGTCAGTTTATTTTGGTTTGTTAATTTTCACTCGTGGCTATTTGCTGCTTAAGGAGCTTCTGCCCAATGAGTTAAACAGAGGACAGTAGTGGTATGAGGCCTGATAGAGAGGACTTCCTGTCCACAAATTGACTTTTTGGATACTGTAGTAGAAATGGCACATGAAACAAATCCTCACCTACAGCTAGATGGGAACAGGTCTCTGGGTACTCAGAGTAGGGCTGCCCACCATCTGCCCTGCAGTATTTAAATCCTGAGATCAAAACCACTGTTAAATGACAGAGTTCAACTTATTTGCTGAGGCCTGGCTTCTCAAAGCTCAGAATTAGGGCACACAGAAAGAAAAGGAAGAAAAGTAGAATTAGGTGTTACAGATGCAGGCTGTCAGATGAAGAGACCTCAGCACTTTGTCTGGTTGCCTGGCAGGTCTCCATCATGTGGGGATTGAACATGTGCTCTTATGTAATGGTGCGTCTCCTGGCAGGGGATTTCCTCCTTTGCTGTTACTGGGGCAGCAATTCCTACAGCTACCCTCTCCCTCCATACACATACCCATACACCCTCCAAAGGTAGTAATTCACTTGACTTCTTAAAAGTAAGAACTTCTTTCTAGTTTGTTGCTACTGAGCATTGTTTCACTCCATACTTTCTCATCCCCTAGATAAAAACCTGCCTTTTGTTTCAAATCTTTCCTTGTGCTCTTTTTCCATATCTTTAGCTCTTCTGACAACCAGGTAACTAATGGTATCTGTCTGTGAAGTTGGAGAATTACAGGATCTTTAAAAAAATTAGTGAGTCACGTAATCTTCCTCATTTCTGTACCAAAACAAGTGAACTGGGGAGAATGTCTTTAGCAGAGCCGCTTGCAGGCAGAGAAAGAAAGCCAGGCAGCACATGTGCTTTTCTTTCTCCTCCAGTTCCCATTTCCAAGGACACTTCACGGAGAGGTAGCAGCAGGGCTGTAATGGCCATTACAGGCCTGAATGTCAGCAGATGCGCTGGGCCCGGTTGTGTAATTGCCTTGCATGAAGCATTTTACTGAACTCCTGAGTTGACATGTGATCTCCTAGTTGAAGCTGACAAGCAGGGTTCATTTTTCCCCCTTCTATCTGCCTGGGCAGTAGAGAAGTCTTGTTTAGGGAGCATTCCTTCAAGCAATAGGAGAAAGATGAGAAGGAGCAAATAGAGGAACAAGCCCAGTCCCCCCACTTCCCCCACTTTTTTTTTAGAACTTTGAAAGCAAATGCTGCTCCTGTGCAGACTTGAGTGTTGAGGGTTAGGACACTTAGGTTAAGGGTAAACATTGGGACAAATGCATATATGATAATAGAGATGCTTTCTCCTCAAGATGGCTTCAGTCTGGTGGCCACCCACATATCCGACCAAAGTGAGACTTCATGTAGTGGAATGGCTTTTTAAAAATTAATATTCTTAAGTTATGTTGCCACATTTCAGGAAACTTGGAAACCAGAGCAGTGAGAAATAATGCCTGTAATGTGGGAAGGGGTAGTTCCATGTTGGTGGGAGTGAAGGATGCGGCTTGAGGTTGGGGCTGGGGGTTTTGTGATAGTATTTGAAGCTGCTGACAGCTGTGGATCTGAGACCAGTGAAGCAATTTCAGGACAGCACTGGGGAGACTGTCCTTGAGCATCAAGATCTGTTCACTCCCACCCTGGTTTGGATTCAAGGCAACAGCCATTGTTCCCTGGGATGATTGTAAGTTCTGGAGTGTCTCTGTGTAAAAACCTTTATCTGTAAAAGCAGAGGTGCTGGGGAAAGAGGTGCCTCTTACAAGTCTTAGGTTTTAGTGGCAGAGCCTGCCAGGTACCTGTGAATGTTTCCTTTTTCTTGTGCTCACGTGTGTTTGACCATGTCCTTTTTCTTCCCTTTTACTCCTTTGGCCTAGAAACCAGCAGGGTTCCTCTATTAGCGCTCTCATCCTCTGGTTCTTACCTGAGTCTGAAACTCTCCACTCTGCTGGTAGACTTTGCAGTGACATCGAGCCGGGTCACTTCAGCCGTGAAAGGCCACCTGTGCTGTTGTTAGGGCTGGGGGACAGTTGAGTGTGTGCGAAGGTGCTAGTATAGCAACAGCAGAAAATGCAGCTGTAGTGAGAACTAAATGGGTTTCACAGACTCTGGTGTTGCTGTGATGTATTCTGCCTCTCTGGTTCTTACATCTCAAAAAAGGAAAATAGCCACCCTTGAAACATCTGAAGGCTGCCTGCCAGGAATCAGAAACAGGATATTATTGAAGCATTTTTCTCAAGCAGAAACAGATGTAGTACCCTGTTACTGTCGCCAGTGTTAGTAGATCCTTAAAATTACGTGATAGCAGTGTGCCCTTAAATGTACTCTCCCTCTTCCCCATACACAAGTGTTATACTTTTTGGCAGGGCCTCATTGCTTGATTTGGGAAAGTTAGCCTGGTATTCCTGATGACTGTAATAGCCTCTCAGTGGGTTTGCAGACTGCAGAGGTGGTGACTGACAATTCTTTATTACTCGGAAGAGAATCTTCTGTGGTGAGAAGTTAAAAGATTGAGGATTCTTTTCTCCTCTGGTTGGGTATTGCACACAAAACCTCAGAGAAGAGACACGAATAGGGGCTCTTTCCCAGCTGCCTTTCTTTCTTACCATCCTTTCTTGGGGAGGGGGAGCTTCTAATCTTTCCATATCCAACCTCCTGCCAGCAGTGACTTGGCCTCACCCACAGAAGACTAAGATGAGAGTGTGGAATTGCCCTGTGTGTAGACTCTCCTTGCTGAAATTTGGGTAGACTAGCCTTCAGCTTCTGACAAAGCCAGTAAAAGGAAGCTGGCTTGTGGGAATGTGGTATAGAAGTCTGTTTATCCCATTTTTCCTTCTTTGGGTTGTTCTCCGTTATCTCAATAAACTAGGTGGCTGGAAGTTTTAAAAAGGGAACTTGAACACAAGAACCAGGTGGTTTTACTTATTTTGCATTTTAAATTGAGCCAAGGCAGACTGAGGGAAGACTGAGGGGGATTTTTTTATTTTTTTAAATTGTCAGTACACTATGACAAGCTTACGGAAAGCTTGGAAAATAAAGGGGGAAAAATCACCGTGATTCTGCCATCCTAACACAAACATCATTTCCATGTATTCTACTTTTTCTATCTTTTATTGATAATCCCTGTATATTTAATTTTTTGTTCTATTTTTTTTCATTTAGCGTTACACGATAAGCATTTTCCTAATTGTGGCACATAGCCTTTATGGTTATTTTTAAGGCTTTATAATATTCCATCAAATAGATCACCTATGATTTAAATATCCCCTCTTTATACATCTAGATTATTTCTGAGTCTGCACAAGGGGATTTTTTTTTTGAGAGGTGATTTTATTTTGTCATACATTTTTTTTAAAAAGAGCTTTATTGAGACATTATATGTTAAAAAATTCATCCCTTTAAAGTGTACAATTTAGTGGATTTTAGTGTGTTTACAAAGTTGTATAACCATCGCCATAATCTAATTTTAGAACATTTCATCACCCCCAAAAGAAACCCCATTAGTAGTATTCCTCTACAATGCCCTCGGCCCATGGCCACCACTAATCTACTCTCTCTCTATAGTTAACCTGTTTGGACATTTCATATAAACAGAATTATACAATATGTGGTCTTTAGTAGTCGGCTTCTTTAACTTAACATAATGTTGTTGAGGTTTATCCGTGTCGTAGCATGTATCTACTTCATTCCACTTTATTGCTGAATAATCTGTTGTATAGACATACCACATTTTGTTTGTTCATTCATCAGTTAGTGGACATTTGGATTGTGTCTGTTTTCTGGTTATTATGAGTAATGTTGCTATGAACATCTATGTATAAGGTTTTATGTGGACATATGTT